AATGCCTTCAGGCATGTGTATTTTTTTTCTGACGTGTACATTTTTACCGATTACCAAAATAAATATTAATATAGCAATTTACATAGTAATAATCTTTAATAATAAAACTAGTGATTTCCTACCCTATGTCAATAACGTGGAAAACCAGTCACAAATTGAAGGATTAAGTATGTGATGTTACATTAAAGAAAGCTATCCTAGCAATTTCACCACAAAGTTATGTAAAACACAGAGGCAGTAACTGATACTAGACTAGAAATGCTACCACTAGGATCTGGGACAAATCACAACCACTCTGGCCACCAATGCTTTCACTTAAGTAAATAAACAGAATGGAATGAAAATAAAATAGAAAAAGTCAGGATACTAACTCAGACAACATCTTATCCTTGTAACTTTAATGAGCAGTACCTTGTAGATGGCTAGTTGATTTGTTTGTTAAATGAGCTAACCGTGTTAAATTATTACCTACAAACCACAGAAGATATACTCCTACATATATTTATCCCTTATTTTCAAAGGTCTGCTCTGGCCATTTACTTGGCTACTGGATCAGCTACTACTAAACTATGCCCTTGTTTGGTCAAGCGAACACAAAATACCATTACTTTTAAATCACCCAGAAAAATGTCAAGTTCAGGTGAGTGTGCAATAATATTGTTCAACAACAAAAGCTGACAAATATAAAAATTTCAAAATTGTAGTGAAGTATATCTGCCAAAGTTTTTCACAGAAACCAAATTTGATAAACTGTGAAAGAGCATAAAAAAAAAAAAAGCCTTTGCTAAAATGCAGTTTTTAAATGTAAGATCAAACAAACACAAATAAAATTCAGGCAGAAGACTGATAGCAATAAACCAGCACAGCATTCTGAACATTCATTCTAAAGCTAATTTTTCTTTCAAATAAATCATTAATGAATGCAGCTAAGTCTCATATAAGTGTATGAAGAATAGCTTGGCTTTCATTAGCTCAGTTCAAATATGAATCTACTATAAAACAAATTGGGGTGAGGGAAGGATTACATATTTAAACCAAAGGATTCTCCAGTGCTTCCCGACATGGCAGTGCTTTCTACATTTATTATTTGGCCCGAATTTATTTTTAAATTCACTTGAACACACCCTGAAAGAAACCAGAATTTCATGGCCTGGAGCAATAGTATGTTGTGATAGAAAGGACAAAAAAGAACAAGTCCAAGGGCGGGTGCATACAAGGTAGGTACCTATCTACCCATTGGGTCAGCACAAGCTGAAATGCACTGCCTCCAAATTCTGATGACTAAAAATTATGTAACCACATGAGAGAAATTATTGTTTTATCACCTCATCAAAGAGTCATAAATGGCTCAGAAGTTCCCTCCTGAGACTCCAGCACTCACTACTAATATTCAGGCTACCCATTTTTTTTCTCTGGCAAAATAAATAATAAATAAATAAAGTTACTTTTCTCATTTTTTAAAAAATTGGTGGTGGTGGTGTTCGACTCTTTAGTACAAAAAATAACGATTTTATAATTGAACATCTGTATTTCACAAAGGTTTATAAAGCAGGCTTCCGTGGGACTCCTTTTAAGCCTCTACCATTTTTTAATTAATACTTTACCTTTTCAAGGCATATTTTTAGGTTTACAGAAAAATTGTCCAGAAAATAGAGTTCCCATATACCCTCTTCCCTCTCCATTGTTACAAATGACCGATATTGATATAGTATTAACTAAAGTCTAGAGGTTATAACAGGGTTATAACCTGTGTGTTCATATCTATGGGCTTTGACAAATATATGACATGCTTCCAGAACCATACAAAACAGTTTCACTGTCCTAAAAAGGCCCTGTGCTCCACTTATTCATCCCTTACCCTTTCCTCCTGAACCCCTGGCAACCACTTTTTACTTGTCTCTATTGTTTTGTTTTGCCTTTTCCAGAATGTCATATAGTTGCCTCATACAATAAGTATGTAGCCTTTTTCAGACTGGCTTCCTTCACCTAGCAAACATTTAACATTTCTCCATGTCTTCTCGTGTGACTTGACAGCTTCTTTCTTACTAATGCAGTATTTACTTCACAAGGATATCAAAAAGATTAACTGAGATATGCAGTGTTTCCTAAAATATCACATTTCTGCTAGGGAAGATAATTTTAGATAGCATATAAATATTTTCCATTTTAGTAGGTCCGTTTATTTTAATAAATATTTAAAAATAACTACCATAGCAAGCTCTTTATTTTACTAGCATTCTTGCTTGAGACAAAATTACAAAAAAATGTCAGTTTAAACCTAAAAACAATGTCAAGAAAAATATTAAATATAAATGGTTTAGGTACTACTCCGATATGGCAAAAAAATGTGAAGGCAGTACACAAATGCCTAAAGTTCAGGCAACAATGAGAAAGTATACATAAAGGACCCAGCAATGTAAGTGTACTAAATATTAACTACATATTTACTACAGCCATTTTTTTTTTTTTAATGTATTAGCAGAAAGCATGAGATTTATTTTAAAAGCCCTATTCAAATCCAAACTACACTATTTAACAACTATGTGACTCTGGGAAAGGTCTTTAAGGAATTTTCTAAGCTCCTTCATCAGAAGAAAAAAACCTACCTTGTAAAGATCACATTAAAATAACAAATATAAGATTCCTAACAAAACAGTGCTCAACAAAGCTCATTATATAATGTACTTCAATAAACATCTGGTAGTTGATCTTTTTTTGTAGAGCCGTAGAGCTGTTATTCCTTTCCCTCTTTCCAGATGCCCCTCTATCTCAAGCACCTCCATTTCTCTCAACTATGACAGAAAGGGATGAAGAGTCAGTTAATGAGGTTGGGACCTATGATGTGACATGGAGAAAGATGTCTTTAGAATCTAATGAGAATGAGATGGACTAGATTATTCTAAAGATCCCTTCCAGAGTTCACATTCTGAGATCGTATCATACCCTTACTTACCTGTGATAGTCTTTAATTCCTAAATTTATAAGGTATCATGTATTGTCTTTTTAAAAAATGTTTTTATGCCCATAAGTAATCCCTTCAACACCTAAAACGCAGCAGCATATTCAAAACACTTCAGAAGAGGGAATCACAGTATCTGCCGTCAAATCTCAACTAGAGGTCCTGGATAAATTACTTCACCCTTCTAAGCCCCAGTTTCCTACTTTGTAATATCAACTCACAGAAGATGAAATGTATGTGTGATGTATTCATACTAACATTGTGAAAATGGTAAAGACCTAAACTATAAAAGTACTACTGTTGATACTAATCTCCAAATCTATTCTTCCTAATTTTGCTAACATCCTTATCAATTTCTTGTTCTCTCTCTCAAGAAGAAAAGGAAATCTCTCTTCTTCAGTTCTGCAGTTGAGGCCCTATTAGCCCTAATCTACAGTATCAATGATGTTCCTTAATTGGTCTGTCCATGTCCAGCCTCTTATCTCTTCATTAGTCTAAGTAAACTTTGTCCAAACGTGTACCTCTCAAAACCCTCCAACGGTTTCCAAGCATCAAGTAACCAACTTTCTAATCAATGTTGGTAGGTAGCTTCAAGAAATCAAATGACCTTTGTAGTTATCAACTTCCACAACATCCCACCTGTCCCATGTGGCCATACAGGATAAAAGTACAGCCTCCAAGTCTCTTCATTCTCTTCTCTTCCCCTAGAACACTCTGACTACTCATTACCATCTTCTTAAATTCAAGTGATCCTCTATCACAAAACAAATGTACTGAAATACCACAGTATATTTTCCTATGGATAGCACATATGTAATAGCTGTACATGTTCCTATCACAGCCCTCTGTAATTGATAAACTTATAAACACAGGAAGCAGAGGCTGAACTACAACCCCAAAGGACCCAACCAGGCTCTTAATATTTGTTAAGATTTTTTTTTTTTTTTTGGAGGGGTAAACAAAGGAAAGTTTTTCTTCCTTCCAACATTAGGAGAAGTTATATTGTTCTGACATAGGGCAATATGTGATCTTCACCTTTAAGTCAATCATCGATCTAGATCTACTTCCAAACTAATTTAGTTCAAAGCTTACCTTTCCTCTGAAGCACACAAATATTCTAAAAATTCTCATAAGAAATATATAGGCAGCATCCGATCCAGAAGTGTGAGAAAAAGAGCGTCTGCTCTTTCACTTTCCCAAAAGAGGATAGGGTAAGAGCTGGTTTTTAAGAAAACATTTGTTTAAAAAAAGAAAAAAAAAGTAATAAAATAGGAAAATGAAGAGTAAGCATAAAGAATATAAAAGTATATACTTGTTGGTGTTTCAATTTTGAAAACAATTTAATAAATTCTAATAATTTCACTCAATAATACTCATTTGTCCTCAGACAAGTCATTTTTGGAAATCAAATCAGGGTGAACTTGTGGAGATTAACTGCATTATATGAATGGGCGAAGTACCCCTTCAAACTTCTCTGCATCTCACAATATTCCTTTCTCAATGTCTAAGACTTTCATTGATATACTCAGCCCAAGGCAAACAAAAAATAAAACAAAGTTCTTGCTTTCAAGGTATTTACAGCCAGGTCTGGAGTGCTGGTGGGTACACATGTAATCAAGTTAATGGAAACTTCAGCGATTCAGGTTATGAGAAAAAGCACAAGAAAGGAGTGGTCAAATGGGAGAAGCAGTCAAGAAAGATTTAATAGAGAAGGGGAACATTTGATTAGGGGGAGGGGAAGACACATCTAAAAGTGAACATTATATTCAAAGGCAAGGAGTTGAGCAACATGGCCCATCAGAGCCTTACTAGTCAGCAGCAACACCTTTATCACCTGGAAGCTTGTTAAAAATGCAGAATCTCAGTCCTCTGCCCAGATCTACAAAATCAAAAGCTACATTTTTAACAAGATCCTCAAGGAATTCTTATGCTCATCATAGTTTCAGAAGCCCTGCTGACTTCGAAGTAGTAGTTTGGTATGGTTAGAATATAGGATGCCATGGGAAAAAACTCATAAGGCAGCTAGGCTTCAGAGGCATATCCAGATTATGAAGCACCTTATCCTGGAACTAATGGGAGCCACCACAATGTCTATTTGTAAGAAAAAGACATAATCAAATTACCAGGGAGACTAGGGAATGATGTGGAGGAGATTTATTCCAGATGAAGTAGATCTAACAGGTCTTAATCATTTGCGCAATCAATGCGGAAGGAACAAAAGGGGCAAGGAAGTGTCAATAAAATATGAATAAGAAATCTTGAGGAAGCAGATAAAAATAGCAACATTCACTAAAATGGGAAACAAAGGAGGAACAGATTTGGGAGGGAAGACGAGTCCAATATGAGATGTGATGGGTTTGAAGTACCTGTAGTTCAACCAGAGGAGGTGTCCAGTAGACAGTCTATATACAGGAGAAAAAATAATGCCATCATCAGATAGGCAGGTAGGGGCTGATGCCCTGAAAACAAAAGAAGTCAAAGAAAGAGAATGAAAAAAAATGAGGAAACAAAAGACGAAGGACAAAACCCCTAGGACATCAGCATTTAAGAGATGAACAGAGAAAAAAGGATGCAATAAAGCCAGTGAGAAAAATCCTAAAGAAAAACAAGAGTGGTGTCATTGATGCTAAGAAAAGGGTCTCGTGAAAGGGAAATGGAAGTAATATGCCAGAGGTCAAGGCCGTGAAAGTAGATCATCTCACGGATCTTATACATACATAAGTGACTAGGAGTTATATATATCAATGGCTCTCTCTGAGTGATAGAATTAAGGGTGATTTTTAGTTTATTGCTTTCCCCTTATTTTTGCAATTGTTCCTAAAGGCACATGAGTTTTATAATTTTAAAATATACAATAAAAAAAGACAATGATGGCTTGTGCAGTAGTGACTGCCGTGGGTAGAAGAGTGAGTGTGCAGTGATGAAATGAAGGAGATGGGAGTGCAGACAGGGAAGAGAGACTGGGAAGCATCTAGAGTAAGGCCAGAGTCTTGGAAAGGTTTTGTCTTTCAGGTAGGAAAGATCTTGGTATGCTTACAGGCTAAGGGGCAGGAGAGTACAGAAAAAGTGTTCGGATTCCAGGGGAAAAAAAAACAAAACTTCCTTATTACCTGCTATAACCTTACTACACAGTCAGAACAAAACTAAGTTCTGCTCTCATGCAATTCATTTTCTACTAAGAAAACAGAGAAAAGATAAATATCAGACAAGTGAGAGGTGCCATAATAAAACTAGAATAGAGTGGTTTTCTAGATTGAGTATTGAGGTAAGGCTTCCCTGAAGAGAGAGCATTTAAGTGGAGTCCTGAATGACAAGAAATAAGCTGTACAAAGAAAGGGGAAAGGCCTGTTACCTCTACTTTATAGATAACAAAACTGAGGATCAAATAGTTAGGTAAGATTACACGGCAAGTAAATGGAACCTAGGTCTGATGAACACCCAGAACTTTTTAATAATAATACCCTTTCTATTATTACATCGTGTTCCCTCTGTTGTTCCTCTCAATGCAACAGTGAAGATGAACGATAATATTGACCCTCCTCTGGCCTCACAGACTTAAGGACTAGAAAAATGAGAATAATTAGCACACCTTTTTCAAAGAAACTCTTTGAAAGCCAAGAGATATAGCACAAAAGCAGAGGCATGATTTCGGAAGGTTAACTATCGAGGCCTAATGAGAAAATCCAGGCAGGCTCCAAGTTACCAGTAGGCTACGTTCCAAAGATTTATAACTAAGTTGTTGAGAAGTCATAAAACATTTCCTCTATATAATTTTATGCAGAGGTTTTCAGGCTGGCCCACAAAGAACCATGTAATCATAGTTACTGCTATTATAGTAACTAATAAAGCACTTACTAGGTACTAGGCCTTAGGTTAAGTGCTTTACATACAATACTACCAACACTATTACTACTCCTATTTTATAAATAAGTAAACTGAGGCCTGGAGATGTTAAATAACTTGTCTAACGGCATTATGCATTATAGAGATCTGGCCTATTCCAGATCCTTAACTGTCTCCCAAAGCACCTTTAAACACCATTCTTTCAAAATCAGTTTTTCTGATTCTAAAATCTTGGCACCCATCTGCCCTTCTCAGAACACTATTCAAATTAACACTTTCATCAAACTTCTCTATCCCCTCTACCACCAAAGTCTATCCTAAATTTATATCCTGATAAATCTCAACCCATGAGGGCATTTATTTACACGTCTGACACTCACTGAGAATTTAACTTGCCTTTGCCTCCGCATATCTCCATGGAGTGCTTGCTTTGCGTGTGCTCACTTATTCATTCATTGATACAGAGCCTACTGTAACAATTCTCAACCAATACCACACCCTAGTAAATACTGGGAGGAAAACTCCAAGAAAATCTAGGGGAAAACTCAAACTAACATAATCAAACGTCCATCTCTGAGCTATCCCTAGCTCACACCAAATTCCCAAGCTATCCACCTCCCCCACCCCTCAAAAAAACACTCTCAAAATCTAAGTCCTAGCACCTAGTTTGTTACCGACCAACAATAATGCTTGCACGTGGGACAGCAAGCAAGCGGGTCAAACCTAAGGAAGAGTAAAACCTGACAGTCGCAGAAGCCTTCAAAGCCCCCTCAGCTTCATAGGCAGTAGGTAGCCTGAGGGAAGGATCCAGGCCGGAAGCAAGCAATGCCCCCGACCATGACCTTCTGAAGGCGACCAATCCAATCAGCCAAAAAACCCCAGGCGGGAGCTCGATCCGAAGCCCCAGGACGCTTAGCCCTGGCGCGGCGAAGAGGGCACAGAGAGGGCACATAAGAGGGACCCGTCCCCCAGCAGCCTCGAAGAACTCAGGGGACGTCCACACTGCAAGCGGGCTGAGGGAAGTGCCTGGGCACTCACCCGGCGACCGGCCCAGCGCGTGCGCTGGGGTGACACAGGGCGGCGTGCGGCCAGCCCGGGGCGCCAGCGAGGAGGCGCAGGGAGAGCGGGAGGCGCGGGGCCGCCCCAGCACGCAGGAGCCAGCCGGCGGGTCTCAGCAGGGCTGCCATGGTTCGGCTGTCCCCACTGCGGGTTCCACGTTCAGCGAGAAGGACAGGGGGAGCACGTGACTGAGAGGTCGCCCGGCGCGGGAGAGACCAAAGGCCGAGAGCCCCAGATGTAGGGGGAGGCAAGGGCTGTTTTAGTTTGGGAGAAGGAAAACCCTATTTATCTGAGGAGACATGAGCCCCATGCCACGTTTAAATTACAATGTGGTTGGATTTGTTATTTAAAGAATCTTCTCCTTTCGTCTTTTGTCCTTCATCTCAGCACAATAAGTCGCTCCACCCCTGCGCTTTTCAGTTGGTGGAGTCGGAAGAGGTCGACTCCACCCAAGTTAGCGCAGGGCCTTGCGGGGGGGCCAACCAGCGAGAACACTCGGGAACTCTCCGGAAGAGCCGACTATGAAGATCCCAGAGTGTGGAGCAGTTCTCTTCCGAGGGCGGATGTCGCCGCTGTTCAGCGGTTCCTACTCAGCGCCCAAGTTGCCGCGCTGATAGGGACGTTCCATAGCTCCCAGAAATGTGGGACAGAAAAAACGTTGAGGACCTTTGCACTGTGCTAGGGGCCTCTAAGGTTAAACATAGTGTGATTTGCATTACTGGGTCCAGTGGACAGTGTAAAGAAACACATAGGTCCAAACCTAAGTCCATAAGCAGTGCCTAGCTTTATGAAGTAGATGGGTTCTAACAGAGGTATAAGTTTTAAAGCTGGAACTGAACTCATTATCTTCCCCACCTACCGCGCTGCCCCTTCAGTAAATGCACCAGCATCAGAGGTAAGAACGATATGACTGAGTCTGGAGCTAAATCTGGGGATAAAACAGGAGGCCCTTTCCTTCACAGCGTTTACAGTCTGGAAAGGTTCCCTGTGCACACGTGGAAAGTCGGGAACGGCCTTCCCCTCGTTCTTCACTTAGCTGTATCCTACCCATTCCCAAGAGAATACTCAGCTTCTTTGGAAAGCCCTCCAAGGTAATTTCTTGTTTGGCTGTTTATCCCACTGGACATTGAGCTCCTTGAGAGCAGGGACTGTATGACCTTTTCTTGTAGCCCAAGCACATACTCAGTTCCAGGCATCCAGAAGGTTGCATTAAGTATTTACTGAATACATGTGTATTTTGAGATGATCTAGCTCATCTCTCCTTCAAGAGATGAGCAAAAAGGTGAAATGATCTACTCTGGGTTATACTATTAGGCATTAGGAATATAATTTATTCACTCATTCGACAATGATTTATTGAACACATATTTTGTGCCAGGCACTATTTGAAATGGGGGTACAGCAGAGAACAAAACAGACCAGGTCTGGACTCTGATTAAGCATTCCAAATTTTAGTTTGGGAAGATAGGTAAGAACTGTGTTGTAAAATAAATTCAGATAAAGGGATTGAGGGTGGAATGTTTAGCCCCTACAAAGAAGAGTAAGGAGGACAGTGTGGATGTGAGGAAAGAATAAGGCAGGGAGGGGACAGAAAGTGGGCATGGAGGCCTGAGGTAGTTGAGGGCCAAATCATGCAGGGACTGTAAGGACTTTTTTTTGTTCCGAAAGAGATGGGAAACCCCTGGAATGTTTGGTGTGTTGCCATGAGATGAATCGATTTTTGTGTATTTATTTAAATTAATTTATTTAAATTAGTTTCAAGTGTACAGTACATTGGTCAGACATCTATATAGTTTATAAAACAATCCCCCCAATTGCTCCCTCTCTCCCCTGGCCTTCCACCTAGCCATCATATTAATGCTAACTTCATTCCCTCTGCCATGCCCCCCAACCCCGTGACCAACTATCAAGTACTAATTTGTACTTTAACCCTTCACCCCATTCTCCCAGCCCCACAAACCCCCTCCTTTTTGTCAGTCACCAAATTGTCCACTATATTCATGAGTCTGTTTATGATTTCACTTATACGTGGAATCTAAGGAACAAAAGGAACAAACTAATCCATTTGCATTTTTAAAGGATCACTCTGGCTGCTGTTTAGAGTGGTGATTTTAAGGGTAAATAAAAGTTTAAAGGTAAACAAAAGTTGGAAGACCAGTAAGGAAGCGCTTACAACCATCCAGACTAGAGATGATAGTGGCTTGCATTAGGGTAGTGGCAGATGAGGTAATGAGAAAGGGTCACGTTCACTCTATTTAAATAGTAGAACCAAGAGGATTTACTGATGGATTGGCCGTGAAGTGTAAGTTAATGACTACAAATTTTCTGGCCTGAGTAATTTGAAAGGTGGAGATGGCACTGATTAAAATGGGGAAGACTGAGGGAAAACAGATTTAAAAGGTGAAAGCAAAAGTGATCTGTAATATTAAGCTCGAGGTGCCTATTAGATATCTAAATGTCAAGTTTGAGTAGGGGGTTGGCTATATGATATACAAGTTTGGAATTCAGAGTTAGAGATACATTTGGGAATCTACAGCCTATACCTAATATTTGAAGCCATGGGAATGGATGACAGCATCTAGGAAGAAAATATAGATAGACAAAAGGTGAGGTCCAAGGACTGAGGCTTGTGACATTTCAGTATTTAGAGAATATGAAGATGAAAATCCAGCACTAGAAACTAGGAAAGAATAGCCAGAGAGGTAGGAGGAGAACCAAGAGAAAGTGGTGTGGTCCCAAATAACAGAGAAAGAAGGCTTTCAAGGAGAGAGTTATCAACCACGTAAAATGCTGCTTTTAGTTCTAGTAAAATGAGCACTCAATATTGACCATAGGATTTGGCAACTCATTGGTCCCTAATGATGCTGAGAAGAGCCATCTTGATGACATATTGAGTCAAAAGATTGCTTTAAGTGAGTTTAACAGTACATGAAGGAAGGCGAAGTGGAGACAGGGAGTATAGACAAACCTTTTGTAAACTATACTGTGAAAGAGGGAGCAGTGAAAGGGGGTGGTACCTAGAAGGGGGTATGAAGTCAAGGGAAGTTAATTTTTTTTTAACACCTACAACACCCAGCATTCCTTGGTGGTCTCCCCTCCAAGTACTAACCAGGCCCGACCCTACTTAGCTTCCAAGATCATACGAGATCGGGCATGTTCAGGGTGGCATGTCTGTAGACTGGAAGTTAATTTTTTAAGATGGAAGAAATAACAGTGTGTTTGATGCTGATAAGAATTATCCACATTTAACTATTTAAGTTACTTTAAATTAAATTTTAAAAATTTAGTTCCTCAGTGATTAACCACATTTCAAGTACTCAATATCCACAAGTGGCTAGTAGCTACCATATTGGACAGCATAGACAGAGAACATTTCCATCATCGTAGAAAATTCTATTGGTCAGTGCTGCAGCAGGGAGTGAAAAACTGATAATGCACGAGAGAGAGAAAGAGTACACTGAGTAGGCAAGAGGAGATCGGATTCCATACAAAAGTAAAGGAGTTGACTTTAAACAAGAATCGACACAGTTCCAGCCATTGTCATAGACGGAAAGACAAGTTACAGATGTAACAAGGCTAATAGAAGTAGTAGTGAGAATAAATGGATGTTCTCTTCTAATTGCTTCATCCCTGAAACCCTTAATCTTCAACCAGCATTCTCTCTGTTACCATACCAGGCTTCCTCTTGAAGTATGAAGCAACTGTTGAAATTTGTCTAGGCATTGATTTATTCACTCATGAGTGTATTCATTGTTTATTAAACACCTAAGATCTGCCAAGCAACAAGTTAAGCGGAGCAGTCCTTACAGTTATGGAGCTTACATTCCAGAGGGCAAAGCAGATATTAATTAAATAATCACGCTAATGAATTACACACTGAAACAGGGGTTCTGAAGGAAAGAAATATGTTTCTGTAAAAGCATATGTCTCAACTAGGAGTCAGAACGGTTCCCAGGGAAAGGATCCTTAGATTGAGATTGGAAAGATAAATAGTTGCTAACATATCCAAGGTGTGTGTACGCATATGTATGTCTGTGTGTTTCTGTTTCACATGTGTCTGTAAGAGAGAAAGAAAGAATGGTGTTTGCTTGTTTTTCAGTTCAGACTTCCCAAGTTCTTCTGAGATTTCTTTAGATTCCAGAAGCTGTGACAACTGGAAGAGAAGTCCAGGTTGATCATCCTTGGTTTTTTCCTTAGGTTATTTTGAACTACGAAATAGATTCAAATGTTGGTTAGAAAATCAATGATCCATGTCCCAATGAATGATATAACCTCTGAATAGAATCTGACTCGGAAAAACAGCTAAAAAGCTAGATTTTGCAAAAGTACTTAAGTACTGCTTGGTTTCCTTATGTGTAAAGCTGATGATACCTACCCCTTCCTCCCAAGATTTTTTGGGGAATATTAGTTAAAATAAGAAAAGTACTTACAGTACAAGGCACATAGGAAGCTCTGAAAAATAACGTAGTACTATTATTGTTGCTTTTCATAACCAAGTCTAAACCCCATGAATTTGGGTTCTTCTCTAGTCCCTCCTTGGGGTCTGATATTTGACACCAATCTCTTCACTTCCTAATAACCTATACCAGTGTGTCAAACTCCCAACTCAGTTTACTCAATTGTTAAGTGCTTCGTGTAAGCAAAGCACTGGGTAAGTTCCATTTCAGGGCAAAGAAGTTATGCGTACTATCATTGGTGAGCTTAATTTAGGAGAGGATAAAACACACACTATTGTATACAGATAATCATTACACAAGGCAGTGTGATGAGTGCAATGAAAAAGAGGCAAACCAAGTGACAGCTGGGCAGGAGAACAGAGGTTTCCAGGGTGGGAATGGCATTTCAGCCCTTGGAGGCTTGAGAATATATGAAATAGTGAACGTGGTGGCAAAGGGAATTCTAGGCACAGGGGACAACAGCAAGAGCAAAGAGAGAGAGCACCCCTTCCTGTAAATACATCCCTCCTTAAACTCCAGAGTCTGCCCAGAGAGAATCACTAAACCAGTGGCTTTCATGCTTCTGTGACTATGACCAAAAGTAAGAAAGTGCATTTTAGAAATGACACACATACAAAAATAAATTTTATAGAACAATAATGAGCCTTATTCATGTGATGCACTAGGTTATTTATTAATCTATTTTCCTCTATTTCATTTTTTAAATGCCGATTGACCCTAATTCTAAAAAACCA